TGGGCCGGCAGTGCCCCTGATGCCAGGTCAGCGAGCAATGGGTCAGCGGTGCTCGAGGAGCAGCCTCCTCTTTCCATGCTGGACCGGGCGGCTGGAGCAACTCTGGAGCAGCTCTGGAGCTGGCAGGAGGGTGTGTGAAACCCAAGCCTTGCACCTTCTGTGCCGAGCGGGGACAGGACAGGGCCGGGCTGGCTCAAACACACGTTTCGGGGGCCGGAGGGCCCCTTCCCGGCGCAGCTGCCTCGGGAAGGCTGGAAGGCTGGAAAGCTGCTGCCGGCCCCGCTGGCAGCTTGACAGCGTGGGGTGGGCTCCCCCCACACAGCCCCTGCCCCAGGCCTGGCAAACACCCCAGCCAATGTGCTGGAGCTCATGGAAAGGGCTGGGGAGATGTGTGCAGGGTGGGGGGAGGTGTGTGAGGTGGGGGGATGTGCATGAAATGGGGGGCTCATCTCCCCACAGCAGGGCAGTGAGGAAGTAGCAGTGCTAGTGATATTAATACAAATAATAACGGGATGCCGTGAGTGGGGGCTGCGTGTCCCTGCTGCCAGGGAGGAGGAGGAGGAGGAAGAGGAGAAGGGGCTGTAACCAAGCTGTGCTCTCTGGAGGCCCCGAGCAGTTTGTGTGCAGCGGAGCAGGCGGGTGCCTCTGCTCGGTGACCTGGAAGTGGCTCCGTGTCCCCTGGGGTGCCAGCCCTGGCTGGGATGGGGGAGGAGGGAGCTCGGTGCCCGTGATGGATTGGGCGCCAGTGCAGCACCTCTGTGTCAGCACCAAGGGACATAAAACAACTTGAAGGACCTGGAGGAGAGGGGAGGTGGCAGGAGATGGATTTTTATTTTAAGTAGAGTGTTTGTGGATTCCTGCAAGGATCTGTGGCGGTGTTGGAGCACACTGGAGATGTGTGAGACACATCTCCAGGGTGACCCATAAGGTCTTCACCTGTGCCAGGAGGGTCTTTCAGCCTGGCACGAGTGTCTTGGCTGAGTCAAGGCTGCTCTGCACCAGCTGCCCCTTGCCAGGATTGGTCCCTCAGCTCTGTTGGGATTGGGGTCAGGCTGCGGGGCACCGGTGGGTGCCGGTGGGATGCAGTCACCTCACCTAAAGTGATGGAAACACGAACCTTATGCAGGTCTGGGGGTAAGGGGGGCTTGGGGGAGGCGTCCGGGCTGCGGCCACACCGTGCCTGGCTGGGTCTGGAGCAGGGCTGTGGTGCACAGATGGAAGAGTGATTAAGAGCAATAAAAGGAAAGAGACTTGGATTCGCTACAGTCTCAGCACATTAATTGTGCTTTGGGGCCCAAATCATAACGCAGCCCTGCTAGAGGGAATCCAGGAGAGAAACCAAACATCTCGCTCTGTCCAAGGCTGACCATTTAAGAGACCCTTGCCTTCATCTCCTGCCAGGTATTACTTCCAGCGTCTCCCATCTGCCAAAACCCGAGTTCTCCTCTGAAATATTTTGAGGGGAAGAAGAAAAGCTTTGGTAACACTGAGTGCTGGTGTGGGGAAGCAGTGAGATGCGAGAGCACATGCCATCGCCTGCTTGGAGATGGGACTAAGAGGTTGTGGGGGCTCTCAGTCATCTATCCTGGCTCCTGGTGTGTGTCATGAGGCTGGACTTGGTGTGAGGAATGCCAGGAGTGGAGGTCCTGTCTGTGCTTCCATGGTGGCTGAGCATCTCTAAATTGACAAGCAATTACATGGTTAATGGTATCACTGGTAAATCCTCATCACTCACCAGAGGGGCTTAATGCTCCATTAGGGAAAGGCATCTGATGGCTCTGGGGGCTGGGAGAGGCCTTGCTCTCAGTGGAAGTCACCTGGCCAGAGGTTGTTTTTGCTCTCCCAGCCCTACAGCCAACCCGTGAATCCCTCCAGAGTGGAACAGGGCTGGAAAATGCTCCTGTACACTTGTTGTCGCTGGAGCTGGATCGAGCCTCGCTCCTGTGGTGAGTGGAGGTGACAGTGTTGTTTGAGACCTGCCATTTCCTATTGCCTGAGTATTCCCAACTCCCTGCCTGGTCCCTCCATGGTGTCACAGCTCTGCCTCCTGCTGCCTCCCTGCAGCTCCTCTCTCCAGCTCAGGGCTCTCCCACCTCTCCTGCAGCTGCTGCTGTGCCTGTGGATTTAACCTTTTCCTCCAGTGTTCCTGTGGGTTTGCTGACGCTGGATTCCATCGGCAGCTGAGGACTGGGGGTGTCACCTGCGCTCACCCTGAACGAGTGGCACAGGCGCTACGGGAATCCATCGAGTGCCTCCTGGATCCCATGTCTTCACTGGACCTGGGCTGACCTGATCCTGGAGCCTTCTGCTCGGGCTCCTTCCACTGGGAGAGCAGGAAACAGAGTGGGAGGACCAGCTCTTCATGGCTGAACTTCACAGGGAACCACACTGGAGGAGCCTTCACCTCTGGGTCCTTGGGGACCCCCAGCCACAGCCCCTGCCCTGCTGGACCTGCTGCTCAGCACATCCCTCTGTCCTACATGTTCATATCAAACCTACCAGCCATTGGACTCTTCACCATTGGGATGGATTTTAGAATTTTGACTTTTGGAAGCCCAGCCAGCCGTGTGGAGCATCCAGCTTTGCTCTGCCCCATTGTGGATTTATAAGGAGCGTGGCAGCATGTCCTTGTTTCCAGAGGCCATTCCAAGACCATCACTGTGGGTTTTACAAGTGTTTTGCCCTTCTAGCTGCTCCTTTTTACATTACCTCAAGCAACTGCTTAGTTTTTCCAGGTGATTCCCTCTCAAAGCTACTTTCTCCCTCATCATTAACACGAGCAGAACAAGAAGAACCTTCGTGCCCAAGTCCTGTGTGTGGGGCGGGAAGGAAGATGCTCAGCTGTGTCCCTTTGTCCATCCCTGTGGCTCCAGCTGCCATCCCTGTGGCTTCAGCTTCCGTCCCTGTGACTCCAGCTGCTCCCTCTGTCCTCTTTGGACCTTTAATGTTTTTGTTGTATCCAGACACAGCGTCTCTGTAGTTATTTGGAGGAACTGCTGTCTCCTGTCACTGCTGCCTTTGTGGGATCTCCTGGCTTCCACACTTGAGCCACGATTTGTCTGTACCTCGTTTTGATATAATTAGGTAATTATTTATAAACAAGACTCACGAGGCCTCGCAGAGCCTGGTTTTTACAGACTACCCTGTTCTTCCTGAATGGATGAACCTTTTTGACATGGAGCTGGGAAGGTGGGAAGCTGTTCATGGAGCAGCTTCAGTGCCATGAGCTGGGATGTATCCACTTATTTCACCCCCAAACCAGTGCCTCTGGCCTGGGACAACTGAGCTGCTGTACTCTCTGCTGGAGTTCTCTCCCCGAGATGTTTTTATGGGGAGTCTGAGCTCAGACTCCTGGCTGGATTCTGAAGAGCCTGAGCGGGCTGTTGGGGGCCTTCCTCCACATTCCCAGGCGTTTGTGTGGGGATTTGTGCTGACAGTGCTCCCGTCGGATCACCCGCCAGCGGATCCCAGCTGCCTGGATGCACAGCTCCATCCCAGGGGCCGTGGGAGAGGAGAGAACTCGGCCCAAGGACTTTGTGATCAGTAAAACATTTGCTGGTGCTTCAGACGAGAGCCTGGATTGCACAGAGGTGTTTGGAAAGAGCTGATGGACTTGGAACTGCTTCCCAGCGGGATCTGGATGTGCTTTCTGGAGTAACCCAGCGTGGAGGCTCATGGAGGCACCCGAGGGTCCTGTTGTGGGAAGGGGAGTGCGGAAGGACGACCTTGCTCTGTACTCCAGCCTCTTCCTATCCCCTCACTGACACCCAGCAGCGTCCAGTGGATTCATCCCAAATTTCCACTGGACACTTGCCCTCCCACACCCCCATTTTTGGAGGATGGAGGCAGGAATTGGGCTGTGCAGGGAACCTGAAACCCCGAGGCTGAGCTTTGGTGTTGAGGCTTGGGTAGGTGTTGGCTGCGCCGTGCCGGCCAAGTCTGGAAAACTATCCCCGTAGCTCCGTGATTCTCCGTCGCATCACATTCCCGACGCCGTTGCTGAGCTCTGCCTGGGTTTTGTTGCTTCCCTGGGTGAATAAATCCCTGTGCTTGGATTTGGTGGAGCACTGGGATGCCACGATGGATGGGGGTGCCAGTTTGGGAACCATTGTGATCCCTGGGCAGGGCTGACTGTGTGCCAGCGCTGCTCCACACCTGGCACAGCGTCCATGTCCAGGGCCCTTTTGGGGTCAAAAACCAGATTTTTGAGTGTGGTCAGCAGAATCTGCCCTTTAGGTGCTTAATTCTGCAGTCTCCTGGTTTGGGTTTTTGATCTCTCCTGTCCCCCCTGCCCTGAGCTTTCCCCACTGTGGGGAGAGGGCTGGAGGGTGGGGCTGTTCCCTGCGGGACGGCAGCAGGAGCTGTGCGGTTCCCTGCACTCCCGCAGGATCCAAAGGCTTCAAAATCTGTGCCGGCTACAGCAAAAAGTTAATGTGAATTTAAGTGACTTCTGCCCTGCAATTAGAGCCCCTGGAGCCCACTGGGGCTCTGAGTTTACATTCTTCACCGAGGCACAGGGTGTAATTAGAGATGTATAATTTAAACTGTGCATATGCAAGTGTTCCCATTCTGCACCAGGAGCAAAGGAAATTATCCAGGAATTAAAGGAGGAGGAGGGTGCAGGCAGGGAGAATGGCTCACTTGTGTGGATGTGGCAGTGAGGGGAAGCTGGAGGGATCACGTCCTCACTGCTGCAGGCAGCTTTGAAGGGGCAGGAGCTGGGAATTCAGTGGGCTCCGGACGGGGGTGTGAAAATGTGGCTGTAATGTGGGCTCAGGTGGGAGGTGCTGGGGGGGAACTGGGACCTGGCAGTACCAGGGGACAGCAGGGACCTGACTGGGGACAGCAGGGACCTGCCTGGCAGTGCCAGGGGACAGTGGGGGCCTGCCTGGTGGTGCCCATGGAGAATCGGACCTGCACAGTGGTGCCAGGGGGCAGTGGGTGCCTGCCTGCCTGTTCTCCCAGGAACCTCGTATAACATTCCCTCTCTTTTCTTGCAGCCACTTCCAACGGGACGCTGGATGGCCTGGAGAACCGGGAAGGAGGGGTCTGCCAGACGCGCTCCATGAAGATTGTCATGAAAGTGGGGCAGGGTGAGTTCTGCCGCGCCCTGGGGTCTCCTGCTGCCCCTCAACTGGGGTCCCTGTGCTGCTCTTGGGGTGGTTCAGGATTCCAGGGAAGCTGAGGCCACACCAGCTGCTCCCGGGAGCCCGGGTTAGTTGAGCAGAATTCCATTTTTAGGATCTTTTCTCCTCCCTTTTTTCTCTTGCCAATATCACACATGTGCAGAGCACTGGGATTCAAAGGGAGTGATTGTTCCCGGTCACCTCGTGGTCCGTGTCCCAGTGGGAAGCGAACTTGGCATGGAACCCATGAGCTGTGCGAGTGCCTTGGGGAGGGGCTGGCACAGGCAGTGCCCTCGTGACTTCCCGGGTATCCGAGGAGGGGTTGGAGCTGGGCAGGGGTCAGGGATTGGGCTTGGCAGCTCTCAGCTGTCACTGGTGGCAGTGGGACACCAGGGGTATCACCATGGCTCTTCTCCTGGAGCTCCTGCTCCCCATGCTGAGCTGCCTCCCAGCCCCAGCCATGCCCTGGGCTCGTTTCGGCCCCGACTCAGATGCGCAGCTCCCGATTCTGCTTCTCATTATTGTGTTTGCACGTTGGGGCCAATATTTATAATAAACAGGCAAAGCTGTGCTGCAGCCTTGGCCTCCTGCCTGCCCTTCCCTTCCTCCCCCTGCCCGAGCAAGAAACCTGCCCCAGCCCACGCACAGGAGCTCCGAAAAGAGAAAACCAGGGAATTAGGGTGGGGACCTGCTTCCCACAAGCCCTGGAGCAGCTCAGCCTTGCTCAATTGCTCTCAGCATCTCCCATCACTCCTGTGCCCCGTGGGAGCAGCTGGGATTTAGGGGCAGTTGTTCTTTAGGGGCAGAACAAGCTGCTGCCATTCAGGTGGAATTGAGGTTTCTCACCCATCCCTCCCCTCCCCTTTCCCAGATCCGAACGCGGTGATCCCAGAGCAGCTGACGACGAGTCGGCCGAGCAAGGAGTCGGATGACACGGTGAAGATGGTCACGCAGAGCCCACGCAGCAAGATCCCGGCGGTGGAGGAGCCCGGCAAGCCGGGTGGGTTTCCCAGGGACCCCTGCAGAGGGATGGGGCTCTGTCTTACAGCTGGAGGATGCTGGCCTTGTTGCATGGATCCCAGGGATACCAGACTCTCTGGATCAAGGATCTGGATGGGTTTCCCATGAGCATTGTGCCCATCTCTGCCATCTCTGCTGCTCACAGCAGCTCCTGCCCTGGCCCAGGGACCCTCAGGCCTGGCACAGCCTGACTGTGGCGTGGAGCAGCTTGGGTTTGTTTTCCCAACTCCTGGCAGGAGCTTTGCAGGGAAGTGCTGTTTCAGCACTCTTCTTCCTCCTCCTCCTCCTTCTCGCTGCCCATCTGTTCCTCACTGTACACCTGAGAGTGCTTGGAGGAGGCGAGGTCCTTGGGTTTGTGAGCCGAGCCCATGTGAGAGCCCTTTGAAGATGGTTTCCTGAGTTCCTGACCCTGCTGAGAGCAAAATGAAATCAAACAGAGCAGGAAAGAGTTGTTTGTTTCTTCCCACCTGGATCAGCTGCTGAGCACTCCCCCCTTGGGAGCTGTGGCTGCCCTGGCCCCAGGGTCAGTAATTGGATATTGGAGGGCTCCGGGTGTCAGGGCCCACTTTCACCAGGACATCCAGGTTGGTTTTGGAGAGCAAGGGCTCCCAGGGTGCAGGTTGGTGGTCACCTGGACACGAACAATGCTCTACTCCATAGGCTGGCAGATGGAAAGGGGGAGCAGTGATGTGGAGTGAGGGAGAGGACACATGATTCCCCTCCCTGCGGATACTCAGGGTCCTGCCCAGTCCTTCCCAGGGATGTGTTGGTCTGACTGGGGTGGGAAGGTGGTGAGGGGTCTGCTGCCCTCCCTGGAGGCACGGATGTTGTGCTAAGTTTGGAGGGCAGAGAGGGGTCCAATGGACGACTCGTCCACCTGCTCCACATATGTGACCCACACACGGACAGAGCACAGAATTGGCTGCCTGGCAGGGTCTGAATCCCCTCTCCCTTTGCCTTGCAGGCTCTGTCAACCAGGATGGCCAGGAGACCCAAGGTCCCAGCGATGGCTTCCTGAGCTCCAAGGTGGCCGTGTTTGCAGCCATCGGTGCCGGCTGCGTCATCTTCATCCTCATCATCATCTTCCTCGTCGTGCTCCTGATCAAGATCCGCAAGCGGCACCGGAAGCACACGCAGCAGCGAGCCGCAGCCTTGTCCCTCAGCACCTTGGCCAGCCCGAAATGCAGTGGGAACGCGGGCTCGGAGCCCAGCGACATCATCATCCCCTTACGGACTACAGAGAACAACTACTGCCCGCACTACGAGAAGGTGAGCGGGGACTACGGGCACCCCGTCTACATCGTGCAGGAGATGCCCCCGCAGAGCCCAGCCAACATTTACTACAAGGTGTGAGGAGCAGCCTGGGAACGGCCGATGCAGGAGCGCGGGAGCGCCGGGCGCGGGGGCCGCCCGCCCCGGGCTGGCGCCGGAGGGAGGAAGCGAAACGACCCCCCCGGCACGGCGGGGCAGCGCCGGGGCTGCGCCGGGGAGCGGATGGCTCACGCTCACGTGCTGATTCTCCCCTTTGTATTTAGTTTTGTAGTTCTCAGCTTTTGTAATCCCGAGACTCGAGGGTGAGCCTTCAGCCTCCTCCTCTTCTTCTCCAGACTGTGGCCGGCCGTGGGGGCGGGCGCCGTGCCTTTCCGTGCTCGGGACACCGCTGGCAAACCCGGAGACTCCACCTCCCCTTTTCGTTCTGGGATTTTCCCTCCGTCCTTGCTGAAGTGCCCGTGTGCCGACGCCGCGGGGGTCCGGGAGCCTGGAGCGACGCCGGGGCCGTGTCCGAGGAGCAGCAATCGGCCGCGGGGGGATGAAGAGGAGGAGGAGGAGGAAGCTTTGCCACGGTGCCAAGATGCAGACAACTGTGCAGGGAGGAAGCTGGCAAACCCGATTTACTACTACTACTATTATTATTATTATAATTATTTTAATTTTTTTGTAACATTTTTATTTTTGTGAATTCCGGGCGGGACTCCGGCCCGCCGCCTTCGGGCACACGCCATCGCCTCCTTCCAGCACGCCGTCCCCCCGGCCCTGGGGCACGTCCCGCTCCCGCCGCTGCCCCTGGAAACATTTGTGTTCGTAGCTGTTGACTCTTGTTTTAGTCTCTTTATAAAAAGAAAGAAAGAAAAAAAAATATTCTATCTACACCCTGTCTCAAGCATTCAGTGCGTGAGGGGCCGGGGCTCCTCCTGCCCCGTGCGGAGCAGCTGTGGCCCGGCAGCCCTTCCCGACCCCTCCGGAGCATCCCACTGTGGAGAAAAGCCTTTGGGTTTCCATTGGGCTGGAGCTGAGCCTGCTGGAAGCAAAGTAGGGGGTGGCAGGGGTAGCTGCAGAACCCCCAAGCTGGGCATGCTGTGGGAGGTTGTCCTTGGAAGGGAAAACTGGAAAACAAATGTTCCCGACCCACAGCTCATGCCGGAGGTATCAGGAGGAGGCCGGCGCTTGGGGCTGGAAGCCCCCCAGGAGGCTGGAGTACCAGGCTTGGCTTGGTTGGGAGCTGAGCCAAAGGCTTTTCCATGCCCCTTGGTGAGACCTGCTTTGGGGACCAGCCTTTGCCATGCCTGTCCCCCCACCCTGCTCCTGGCACAGGAGTGTCCTTGTCCTGCCACCTCCTCGGGGTCCCACAGCCCGGGCTCCCCCACCCTTGCCTTGCCCATCTCCTGCCTAACACTGGACAGGGTTGAGCTTTTCTGGTGGGATCATTCCCTGCTTCCTCTTCCTGGGAGGACCTGCTGGCGCTGTGGCCAATGCCAGTGGGCATGGTGGAGCTGGCTGTGCCCTGTCACCCACCTGTCCTCTGGCTGTCCCCCCTTCCTCACTTCCTTTTCCTTCCAGCAGTAGCTGCTTTTGCTCAGGGAGCAGGAGTGGGGCCAGCAGGGCTGCTCCGCCTGGGCTGTTCCCGCCTGTCCCCAGGGCCCCGAATCCCGTGTTAGGAAGTGCCCAAAGAGCGAGGGAGCTGCTCTGCTAAAGTGCCTTGACGAGGAGTGGGCAGGGGTGGGGGGGCAGAGCAGGGACGGGGGTCCCGATGGCTCGGGGTGTCCGGTGACTCGGGGGTTCTGGTGGCTCGGGTGCTGCGCTGGGGTTTGGGCCCCAGCGGGATGGGAGCATCCTGGGGTGTCACATTGTTGGGTTTGTGGTGTTCTAAGGCAGGAATTCGGGCCAGAGTGGAGCAGGGTGTCCCAGCTCTCCTCCTGCCCTCAGCATCCCGAGGTGATTTGGTTTCCCGGGCCCCGAACCAGCTGCTTCCCTAGGGAGGGATGAGCTGCAGTGGGTGCTCCTCCCTGCCCTGCCCCTCTCCCTGTTCCCCCCGTCCCTCCACTGCTTTTCCCCACGTAGCACCTTCCGTCCCTCTCTTTTCCATGGCATCCGTGCCAGTGCTGCCCACCCTGGCCTGGGAACCATCCCCACCAGGACACTCCATTCATTCCCTGCTGGGGAATGGGATCTGCTCTTGGAAATCCCAGAAAATTGTGTCTTAAAAAAATCCCCCTTTCCTTCTCCCGTTTGCCAAACCTCGGCTTGTGGTTCCCAAAGTGTCAGAGCCCTGGCTGGGCGGTGGTGGCAGTGGTGACAGTGACAGTGGAATCCCTTGGGAGCAGCGGCTGGAGTGGAGGGGCAGGAGAGGGACAATGTAGTTTTGGTTTGGTTTTGCAGACGATGGGACGGAATCTGGCCACGGGTTGTACCAAAAGTGATCTGACAGTGCTGGTGGCTTCCCACAGTGGCCATCCCCAGCTGACGTCCCCATCAGTCCGGCTCCTGCTGGGAACAGCTGGAAAACCTTGTAAATATGTGAAGAAAGGGTGAAATCAGAACTCTTGGTTTTTGTCGAGCACCTCAGGCTGCTGGGTCCTGGATCGGAGTGTGTCCCTCGGGTTCTTTTCATGGAAAGTATTGAAGTTTGGTTGATTTTTTCTTTTTTCTTTTTTTTTCTTTTTTTTTTTTTTTTTTTTTTTTTTTTTTTTTTTTTTTTTTTAAATTTTTTTTTGTTTCCTCCCCGTTTTGTTTGTGTAAATACTAGTCTTTTTTGGAAGAAATAATGTAAAGATGTTTTGTATAAACTCCGAATTATTTTCTGGTTGCTTTTTCTTAGAAAAACAAAATGAGAACTTAAAAAAAAAAAAAAAAAAGAAAAAAAAAGAAATTTTAACCACGAGAACGGGTGTAAAACATTGTCATAGTGCTCAGCGCTGGAGCCCACGGGCTGTGCTGGTGTGGGGGCTGCTGGGGGGCAGCACTGGGGGGCTGTGCCCTCAATATAATGCAGGAACAGATGGGCTCCAAGCAGAGAGGGAAACTGGGAGTCTGGGATTCTATTCCATTGATTCCAGGTCAGACCTGGCTCATTCCCAGTGAGTTTCTGGCTGCCCTGGTTCTGGGCAGAGCTTTGAGCCCCAACCTGGGCACGGGCAGAGACTCGATGACACACGGTGACCTAAAGGAGCATCAAATTTATCTCCTTATTTATCTTTAACCAAAAAAAACCCAACCTGGGGATGCAGAACTCAGTGCAACATCCTGAAATCCTGCTCTGCTTTTCCAGGCCTGTGGAGTTGCTCCTGGTGCAGATTCCTTTCCCAGCTATCCCTGTTTTCCATCTGCCAACTGCCAGCACACCGTAGCCTCGTCTCTGCTTGGTGCCCGGGCCAGGTTGTTCCTCCTCAGCCCTGCCCACCTTGGGTCCCTGCCCACAGGGAGGTGGCCGTGCCCACCAAAGCCACCTCTGGTGTCACCGGCATGCCTGGCACTTCCCTGTGGGCAGCCAGAAGGCAGCTGAGAGCTCCCAGTCCTCCCAGTGGCTCACAGGAGCTGGACTGGGATCTGCATTATATTGACAGAGGGGTCCTTGGAGGATCCAGAGGCACTGGAGCAGGGATGGACGTCCTTCCCTGCATCCCAGCAGTGCCTCACACCAGCACATCCACACCACGCTCCCACATTTCAGAGCTGTGACCACGTCCACATCCCACAGCGTCACATCCGTCCCGTGTCCCGAGGGGGGACTGTCCCCACGATCAACCAGCTGCGGGGCTGCTGCCCAGCCCTGTGCCACGGCCTCACCGGAGCATCCGGGCTGCCAGTTCCCTTGTCCATCCTCCGCTGCCGTTAGCCGAGAGGTGGATGTGGGCTTGGAGCCCGGATGCGGCCGGTGCCTGTGTGGGGCACACGGGATGGGGCTTTGGTCATGCGGGAATGGTTTGGGATGCCGGGCACGGAGGGAACGAGGCCCCTCTGTGCCAGCACCTCCTCAGGGAGCGGCTGCTCCCGGGCAGGGGCACATCCCAGATCAGGCCTCGGCATCCCCACGCTGGTTGATCCTCCTGGGCTCCCGGTGGGGCTCCGGTGGTGCCGGGATCCCCTCGGCCGCGCTCCCTGGCACCGCAGATTTTCTTTCTTCGTGTCATGTTCCTCGGTTTGATTCCTTTCACCTTCTCCCAGCTCTCCCTCCCGGTAGCATATCATCGGCATCGGTAACCAGCTCTGTGGCAGCTGAACTCCATGGAGCCGTGATGGAACCTGATATATTGTTAAATAAAAGGGTTTTTTTCCTATGGAATCTCGGCTGTCTCCTGTGTGCTTTTTTCCTGCCCCAGGTTGTGTTTTGAACAGCCACAGCCTGGGCTGAAGAGAACTGGGAAGAGTTGGCTGGTGCAGATCCTCACTGGCATGTCCTGGAGGGATCTGTTGGGTTTGGTTTGGTCAGCAGCAAAGCTTGGAGTTTTTTGTCTAATATTTGCAGTGTGGACTCAGGGTTGGATGGACTCAATGGTTTTAGGATTGGATGTGGATGGATATGGTTGGGTACTCAATGGATATGGTTGGACTCAGTGATCTTAAAGGTCTTTTCTAGCCCAAATGACTCTGATTCCATGTCTCTGTCCCTGAGGAGACAGAGGCTCCTCTGAGGCCACCAGGTCCCCTTGGACACAAACCCTGGGCTCAAGGGGCTGGTTCTTGGGCACAACCAGAGCCACTGGGACCATGCCAAGAGTCTGCTGGAGCGAGCAGGGACTGCCGGGATGGGGGTCGGGCTGGGGGGGCCCTGGGTGCACCAGCGGTGCTCAAATGTGGTTTGCTGGTTTGAAAATCCTCCCTCTCTTCGTGCTTTGATCCCAGTGGGAATGAAATAACACTTTTAATTTTAAACAGCTTCACTGGTCCCTGATGCCCGAAGGGAGAACTGTAAGTGCCAAGCGTGCCGGGACCTGCCAGAGGAGGGAGAAGTGCTTTAACAGGTTCCCGGAGCCCACACCCGGCTGAGGAGCAGGAACGCAGCAGGTCCCCCCTGCTCTGGGGCTACTCCGGGTGGGATCAACATGGACTCAGGGGTGTGGACCCTGCCAGACCCACAGGATTGCTCCTGGTGCTCCACGTGTGTCCTGAGGCTGCTGCAGGGGGGGTTCCATAGGGCAGGGGTGCAACGGAGCTGCATCATCCCAAAACACGGAGTTTGGGAGCCTCCGCACTCCCCGTGATCCCACCCTGGTGCAAGGTCCTGTGGAAGCCCCTGGACTGGGAAGGGTTTGCTTGGGAGCACCCTCACCTGTGGCTGTGGTGGGAGGGGATGTCAGGCCGCAGTGCCTGTGCCCATGGGGACACGGGAGCCGAGGACATGCGGTGGCTCCGCTCCTGAGGGCCGGCTGGCAGGGAGGGATCGGCAGGATCTTACCCCGGAGCCTCCAGATCTGGAAAGTTCATTAAAGCTGCAGAGCTGCTGATGGTTTTGGATGTCCATCAGGAATGGAGGAGTTATTTTAATTATTTCACATAAAGGAGCTTTCTGTCGAGTTTATTAACTCACCCTTGGCCGGATCCCACTCGGGAGTGGGGCAGCTGCCAGGTCAGCAGAGCTGGAGCGTTTTGAGGGAGTGGGATACTGGGAGTGGTGCTACTGCCACATGCCATGGCCAGGGTGGCACCCACATGGAAGGGGAGCTCATATGGGAAGCACCTTTATGACCTGGTTAAGTGATGGGAAACTCAAAGCACCTTGGAGGTGGCAGGGAATGACAGATCCACAGCACTCCCAGCTCTGCTTTGAGACCAGGCTCAACTGGAGCTGGGACATCGGGCCACCCAGGGCCGCTGTGGGGCTCAGGATGAGCCCTAGTGTGGGGAGCACAGGGCAGGGGCACCCCCAGGGTTCCCGGATCATTGTCTCCATGTGCCGGGGCCGTGCTGGGGGCACTGGTGCTGGCAGGGTGCTCTGGAGTTCCACCTGCCCTTGCCCTCCTATTCCCAGCACTGCCGAGGTATTGCCATCCCTGGAGCTTCCCTCCCCGCCCTGAGCAGTGGTTGCTGCTGCCCATTCATGGGATAAACCAGCCCTGGGAGGCAGCAGGGATAGAGCTGGAGCACCAGTGCCTCCAGCCCCTGTTCCTCCCTGCCTTGACTGTGATTCCCTGGATCTTGGCTGGGCTGAGGGTGAGCAGGGCAACGTACCCCAAGTTCCCCTTCCAATATCACACCCCATTCCCCCATCACTGCAGCTCATTCCCAGCCCCAACCACCCTTCCCAGCCCACTCAGCCTCCTCCTCCGGCATTTCTGCTCCGAGGGGAGCATCTGAACCCCCCCAGCCTGTAAGGGGCTGAATAACAGCAATTCCTTCAAATCACCTTGGCTGGGCCAGCTGCAGCAGCCAGGATTGGGAAGTTTATCCTTGTTTTCCCCACAGTATATCCAAAATAACTAACAGGTTCCCCTGGTCGAGGCGCTGGGCTTTTCCCACAGCCAGGCTTTCTGCCGCATCCACCCGCCCGCCTGCACCTGGTTTCCACGGAGAGGAGCCTGGAAGATCCATTAGGCTGTCGTGGAATGCAACGAGTCCCGCGGGCTCCGTAATGAGAGCAATAACGGGAATGCACTGGGGGGCTGTTTGTCACGGGGATGGGGATGGGATGGGGATGGGATGGGGATGGGGATGGGAATGCGGATGGTGGTCTCTCTCGGCGCTGGGGGCTGGAAGGGATGGAAGGAGGAGGAGGAGGAAGAGGAGGAAGAGAGCATGGCTGATGCTGTCACGGCAGCAGGTCGGGCTCCAGCGCTCTCCCTGTGTTCCTGTGCCGCTGCCAGCCCCGTCCCTGTGCCAGGGCAGCCATCTGTGCCCGAGGCGGAGCAGAGCCGGGCTGAGCCCCGCTCGCACAAAGGCCCCGCAGTTCCCTGGAGCTCGACCCGGCGGAGCTCAAGTGCTCGCAGAAAGGACTCACGTGCTGCCAAGGTTTTTCCCCAGGCAGGCCCAGAGCCAGGGGGATGGATGCAGCCTTGTTCCCCTGGCAGGGCTTCCAGCATCCTGAAAAGGCTCTTCCCTGGTCAGCCAGCTGGGACACACACAGCCTGTGAACAACCTCCTTGGGTATCCTGGTGGGATAACCATGAGGAAAGGGCTGGGCTGGAGAGGTTGCAGGGCTGGGAAAGTCAAGGGATCCTTGGGAGCGTGCTGGGAAGCCATGGAGGGATGAGGAGGAAGCTTTCTCCCAGCAAAACAGGGACCTTCAGGATAAATCCAGTAGTTTTTTTGTTCGTTAAGAAGGAATGAACACAAGTACAGCTCTACAGCAAACATCAGTTAATTATGTGCAAGGTTTTAATGTTCCTGAAACACAACCCTTGGAGAGGGTCCCCTGGCTGCTGGAATGGGGTCTGAAGGAAAAACAGAGATTTTCCTTCTCGGTGAGAGGAAAATGGGAAATATTGGTGCAGGGGCCACCCCAGGAGCCGAGCTGGGGGGGTTCTGCCTCTGAGCCAGCCTGTGACCCCACTGGGATTGGGGTGTCCTGGCTCTCAGCAATCCTGGGACACCGACAGGGGTTTCTCCTGCCTCTGAGCCAGCTCAATCCCACTGGGGGGTTACCCCATTTCTTTGGTTGCTCTGTGCCTCTCCCCTGGGAGAGGGGAGCACAGGGT